CCCCCCCCCCCCCCGTTTTGTATCTGTCATTCTTGATTTTCTTCTTCCTGTCTGCCTTTGTTTTCCTTTGGTCTTTGCATTAAACAATGAGTGGATTCCTTTATTAACAACAAAATAGCGAGGAGAATAGCAGCTGACTTCTCAGTTATACTCCCTGGAAGGCTATTGTTGGCAGTCGCTTATATAGGTTTGCATAATTCTTATCTGGCCACTGGGAGGGAGGGAGGGTTGGCCATCATTTGGAGCGGAGTGAATGTTCTGGGAATTAGAAGTTAATTTGCATTTAATCCATAAATTTCAGATTATGACTTTATCCCTATTTAAAGATATCTAAGACTGATCAAGAAAATTCATTCAAATTCAAAGGAATTTGAAAAAATTGAACAAAGCCTTAAAGCTGCTAATAAATTGCTAAAATTTGGGATCATGCTGGAAGAATAGGAAAAGACCTAAAAAACAAACTAGATATTAAAAAATCACTTGAAATTCTCCATACGATGGACCTGTCTTTTGGCCGGCCCTTTTGTTGAATAGATTTGAGTTGCAAGTTGATAAAAAAAATCTAGAACCTCTTGGGCAACTTTTACGAAGTCCAGGAATCTCTTAGAATCAAGTTTGAATGTTCTAAAATATAAAAAAAGAAGATATTAAGAACCTCCTGGATTACTAAACAACTGCTAGGAAGTGGATGAACAAAGTTGCAGCACTGAAGAATCCCTTTAAGACATTGGAATCTATCTATGACGCTCTTCAGGAATGAAACTTTTTAGGGTTCTAAATGTGAGATCCTGATATTATGTTAGCTAAAAAAAGCCAATGAACAAAAAAATATCACTGATATAAAAGGGAAACATGATTGATTTCTACCGGCATTATTGCTTGAAGTAATATAATAACTGTAGCCTAGCTCTAGGATGAAAAGAACTACCCCTATTAAGTGATTTATTATTTAATCTCCTAAACTGTTTTGCTTTTCTCACGGCACTGAAATCTTTGCTTGTTTTTCTTCTTTGAGTTTTAGTCAACATCGTGGATATTTTGGAGGCATATGCAATGTCGTTTCCATTGTATATTTTACGTAACTTTTGAATTTGTTGTTGCTACAAGCAATCCTACAAGAAAGGAGAACATTTTCAGTGCCCTTACCCTTCCTTTACTATGTAATGCATGTGTTCTTTTTGTTTTCTGAATGATGTTTGATACCCATGATCTAATTTAGTTTTCACATTTTTTTATTCTCCTATGATTGTTGTATTAAGTAAACTGAAGCGTAAAACTACTGAATTTTTACCTATAAGGCATCTTAATTTCAAGCTATAATTTTTAGAATTTCTGTATCTTGATCTCGTTTATTATGTGTGTGTTTATTTTTATTTTTTTGTTTTTTTTGTTTTTGTTTTTTTAAGTAAAACCACATATTTCAGATTATAGAGCCAAATGCAATATTTTTTTAATAAGCCTACGGTCATCTTTACTGACCGTGGGAAGCCAATGAAGGCTGAGAGAATGTAACTGTTTTGCCTGTTGGTTTGCTCTATTCAATGTTCTCCCTTGCAAAGTTATTTTTATTTGAAATATGACCTCTATGCTTTCGAGAGAAGGTCACACTTGTAAGAAGCCCTTAAATCATGTTTTTTCTTGTGGTATTTATGAGCTCAACAGGTTATAACAACTTGATCTATGTCGGGCTTGCTCATAAAATTGTTCTTGAGATAATTTGAAATGACGGTTATTGTTATAGAAGTCAATGACTCGGGCGTTCCATCGTTTGTGAGGCTTATTTTTGTTGCAAGAATAGAAGAATTAATCTCTTTTTATTTTCTGTTATGTTACTATCTTAACCGATAGTGCTATGTCCCTCACTTTCTTCTGATTCTTTTGAACATTTTTCACATAGTTACAGTCATATATATATATATATATATTCACGCTTGTACTTCTATTAATTTTTTTGTGTCAATTTGTAGGCAAGGCAAGTTCATCCGGACAAAAATCCAGATGATCCTCTTGCAGCACAAAATTTTCAGGCAAGTACGAATGACCATTGTTACGATTCAATAAAATGGATATTATACCATGCATAAGATATGAAAAATACCTGTGGGCCCATTTGGTTGCTTTAAATTAGAAAATATGTTTTGAAAAACAATGAATTTCCATGTTTTTATCATTTGGCTGGATGTATTTAGAAATCAATATAAGTTTTAAACTCTATGAACACTGATAAAATCCCCATCTCTATTATATACACATACACTTGGATCAAGTTTCATTCATTTTCATTAATAATTTAACTATTTATCAAGCATATTAAAAAATGTCATGATGATTAGATGACAAGTAGATGTCTTTAAAGTCTAATTTAATTTATGTATTTTAACAATCAAAATTATCCAACACATGCAAGCTAAAATTAATAATTCATGCATTTGTTTCATAGTCATTTGAAATTACCTTTTGAAATCAAAATATCTTCTCATGCAACATGTGACATCCATTATTTAATTTTGTTGGATATCATTGATGATCAAACAAAAAAATATTATAGCCATGCATGTCACTAATTTTTATGATGTTAAATATATTGGATGACTTTGATCTTATATTGAAGCTCCAAATTTCAAAATCTATTTATTTGAAAAAATATTTATACTCATCCTACGAGGAGAATGTACATCACATGTGTTTATTCCATTCTCAACTAATTCAAACATTGTTAATTCTGGAAAATTATGAGCTGGTAATGAAATGAATGCATTAATTTATAATGACAAGCCATTTTTAGTCATAAAATCTTGCATTCAAACAAGAGTTTATGATGTAAGGCGTTATAGGGTTTAGCATTTTCTATTGCAACTAGGTGATGCAATGCATAATTTCACGCTCAAATTCAAAATTCACGGTTCATAAACTATCAATCACAATAAATATTCATTCCTTTTGATGAAGAGAAAACATGCAAAATTCATTCTGAATGATAACTTTATGATTACCCAAATAAAAAGTTTACATTGGAATTTAGGACTATGCCAAAAATCTAAGGGTGACCCAAAAGGATTAGTCTAACATCCATAATCAGCACATTGCAGCAAACATTCTCCTTATAGTCGGTAAAGGAGATAGGTATGATGCTTCGTTCTTTCACCTCTAAGGCAGTGAAGTTGACCCACGCTAATTTATACGGGTTGGGTTGAGGAATGGCAGAAAGACTCAATTTGGATACAATTCTGGAAGATACAATATTTATGCAGCTACCATTATCCACAGTGACTTTATAATTCTTATCCTTAATTTTGGTGTAGGTGTGAAAAGTTGCCGTCCTACGCTAGTCATCAGTGGGAGTAGGGTGTGATAGCGCGCATCTCACCACGCAGATGGGAGTAATATCCAAATTTTGAAGGCAATGAAGAACAACAGTGTCATCATTCTCCTCGAAGAATTCTCCTTCTTCTTCGATCTGGTGGATTTGATCAACCTCGGACTCGAGATCTTCCTCAGTAATCTCATCGATGATCGAGATTTTATAGGGACTAGAGCACGGAGAAGCGATATGCCCATACCCCTGGCATCGAAAGCACTTGGTCCCGGGACTAGACCGAGGGGTATCCGGGATGGGAGGTTTATTCCTAAAATCAGATCGAGGTGCAGGAGGACCCGTGGGTGGTTGGGTAGTGCTCCCTGGGGTGGATCGAGCTGCAGGAGTGTGAGGAGTGGAACCACCGGACAGTCTGTAGGAAAGCCTAGAGTCATGTGAATAGCTCGGGTGCTAGGAACGGGTCTCCTTCAAATCTAGCACTAGGCTGTAGGCATTCTCCAGAGTAGTGACGTTCCGGGCAAACAGCTCGTTGCGAAGATCCTCTCGCAACCTGGTATGAAACATATACAATATCTGCACGGGGGTGGTAGAAGTCTCCCCTTTGCAGCGAATCAGTTAGTCATCGAAGGATGCGATGTACTCCTTAACTTGTTTGTTGCCCTGAGTCAGCCTATTCCACCTATCCAACAATCTAGGGAAGTACAAGGGAGGCAAGTACTACTTGAGTTCCCGCTTCATGGATGACCAATCAGTGATGGGTTAATCATTTCAGGCTTCCCTAAGGCTCTCTAAGTTGGACCAAAATTGACTCGCCCTACCCGTGAGTTTCATCTCAGCAAAACTAACCTTCCTAGCCTCGGAGATATTATACCACTTAAAGAAATAGTCATACCTTTGACCTAGTCCAGGAAAACCTAGGGATCGAGAATGCCATCGAAGGCAGGAGCATGGATTTTAATGTTCTTCATAAGTGATATGTCAGGGCCATGATGAGGTTTGTCCCCGTACAGAGGAACTCGATGATTGGCATGCTGCCTCTCATCCGGGTAGGTATCATCCCCATACATAAAAGGTGGTCAAGATGGGGTGTAGGGAGTAGGATGTTCACTAGATCGCTCAAGTGTAGCAAAACGTTTAGTGGTGTCTCTACGGAGTTCGTTTAGGTCGGCTTGGTTCTCTTTGAGTTGCTGACTAATGGTGTTCTCTTGACCTACCAGAAGGTCTAAGGTCCTTTCAAATTTTTTCGGGTCCATAACTAGACACTAGGGGCAATTGGGGATGAATCTAGATAAGGACAACACTTAGATGTTATGATAGACTCCCTAGAATGACACTTAATGAGTGCATAAATTTACTGTACAACAAGCACAACAGTGATTTAATGATTTAAATGATGATATGCATGCAACATTAAATACGAATGGTTAAGTAACAACCTAGGATAATTTCTAGCATGAATATCCTAAGCTAACCATGCTATGATACTAGATGATGCAGGACTAAAATGTTTCAATTGCATGCGTTAAGAATTTGCACGATCTCTTGAATAAAACAATTAGGATTAAAACTTTTAGCAATCCAAAACGACAAAAGAAAACAAGAGAGGGGTGCCTATGTTTAGGCCAAGCCGCTTGCCAAACGCAATATCAATAACATGCAAGTTAAGTAGCTTTCAAACAAAATTCCTACGCTAACAATGAGATTAGATGCACAGATGCTAAACTCAATTCCTACGATTACTAGGCTTGGCAGAGGCAGGTGAACAAGACCTTCATGACTCAAATCAGATCACAAGAATTGGTTAAACTACGACGATACGAGAGTAGGAAGTTTGGAAAACCTTTGTCACAGTTTGGATGTAATCCTCCACTGAACGGTACCAAGTTGATCCTCTATGGCTTCCACGAGAGTATCTTGAATGTGCTCCACGTATTCCTCGACGGTGTTGTCAATATTACGATTGACGTTGAAGAAAGTCGAGTGAATGATGTGCACGAAATTTTGCTCGTCGTAGGCAAGGCCGTAATCAAGATCGGGATCGGCCATGCATCGATCTCGTTGCATCGAAGCGTTGAAGGAAATGCTCCTTTGCTGTCCTTTTCGTTTCCCATTTGAAAGAGAGGGATTTCTCTCAAGAATCCAAGTAGGAGAAGGCAAGAGAGGTGGCCGGCCAAGGGGAAGAGGTTTGGTGAAATTAGGTTCAGATTTTGTGAAATTATAGTGGAGGGAAATTGTTTCAATCAATCCTCTAATTAATCCCTATGAGTGGGGATAATTAAAGAGGAGAGAGGAAGAGTATGAGAGAGAGAAAGGGATTAATTTATTTCCAATTGGAGATGTTTTCTATTTGAAAGAAGTAAATAGAAGGGGCTTGTGGAAATTTCAACCAAACACGGGGAGGGGAATTAGGAAAGGTTTCCAAGAGAGGGTGAGGAGATTTGGAAATAAATCCCAAAGGATTTAATGAGGGGGTCCGGCAGCATTATTGGGCTAGGAGGGGATTTATGGGAGAGATTTGGATTGCTATTTTAGGATTTAGAAATTATGAAAGTTGTAGTTAAATCCCAATTAATTTGAAATTCAAATATGATTTAATTTATGAAACTTTCCTAAAATAGCTTTCTTAAATTAGGAAAGAATTCAAATTCAAATAATTTTGAATTTTGAATTTGAACCTTCCTAACTTAAGAGTGATTGCTTATGGAAAGTATTTAAGAGGGGTAGAATTTGTGGAGGGAAGACGGGGAGGTGAGGTAGGGCCGGCGGCTAGGTTGGTTGTGGGGAGTTTTCAGTGGAGGGATGGTGGGGATTATGAAGGCCGGCGGCTTGGGGTGAGGTGGACTTAGGTGGCCTACGAATTAGGTAACCAAAGAAAAGTAAAATAGATAAAGAAGAAGAACCACGAACCCGGCCGTCTCCAAGGTTGGTGGGCGATCCAAATTCCCTCTCCAATGGACCTCACTCCAATCTCTCAAGCTCTCATGAGAATTCAAACAAGGGGAAGAATTTTATCATTCAATCTTTCATTAACATGAAAAGAGAATAAGGGGGCTATATATAGCCTCGTACAACATACTCAAGAAAATAAAAGACGACGATGCCCTCTGAGCTTACATACGACCTCCTTTAAGTAAGAGGTAAAAACGGAAACACTACTAAAGCAAATATAACATAACATGATAATAAAGAAATACATAATACGACTCAGAAGTGCATCGACTCAATCGTGGCCGTAGATTGACGATCACGTCTTTGATAGACTTTCCACGCTTTGATGTCCCCATCAATATGATGTCATATAAGTAATGAAAATGTTAAGATACTAATATGCGTATTGATTGTGAAATGCTCCTTAATTCCTCCACTTGCCAGTCCATACCCATTCTTGCTAATTCTTTACCATAGTTCCCACTCTCGGTTGACCCACTACCATTTTGCCCTTGCCAGTCCGCTAGCTAGCTCCATAGACTCTGCCTTTCAACTTTTTTTCATCCTACCTCATGGTTCCATGGGATTCTTAAGCTATCTCACCAATCTATAGGGCTATTGTAATTTAACTTTTCTTATAAGATTCTTTTTATGAAATATTATATCAAGAATCTAAGAGCTATTAATAAAATCAATATCAAATTGACCATTTTTCATAAGATTAATAATAAATAATCTCAAAATTTTTTTTTCGGTATGCTAAAACCACCTGCGATAATTTTG